GCAATTATAGTATTGCTTCCGTTTTTACATGATATTGAGAAATCTATGACGAATTGGTATAGCTGATTATTAATTGTGTACTAAATTTTATTCCAGACCATTACACTGTTCATCTGTAGATTAGAAATAGCATACGTTAGCACTGCTTAGAGAATTTGTTAGAAAGATGTTAGAGCGCATCGACATATCGTGCAGCTGTAAATAAAACGTAACTTAATAAAAAAATGATAAATGTTGGATAGTTAAAGTAATAATTTTAGATCTGTACAATTGATTTTTTTAATTATTAAGACATATTGTTTTCAGCTTCCAGGAAGGGAATATCAATTACAGAAATTTGTTCCCATACTAAGCCTTGTAGGTTTAAGTGATGTTCCGAAAATCTAAGAATTGGGTTCAAAATCGTTATGTTGTAAACAAGTTAGGTATTATCGCACTTAAGCAAGTAAGCTAATTTTTAGTCTTTGATTTTGATAAACTTTTGTTATTGTTGTTAGAAGTTTCAACCGCCTAGGAGAACTATTATTACTATGATATGGTATCTTAAATCGACATAGAAACAATAGCAAAATTTGCTCTTATAAATTTTTCGTGTCATTTTAAACCTTCAGTAGAGTAGCAGAAGAAGTTTTGTTATGATCTAGTTTATGAACAACGTCGTATCTGCTTAATTTAAATCGTTTGCAGTTGGAGTATTGGTTGAAAATGATATGAGGGCCGATTCAAAGAATTTAATATAATTATAAATTTACTAATTGATCATCTCTGTCACTTCGACATTGCTCTGTTTTATGCTTTTTTTAGTAAAATTTTCATTGATTGTTTATTGAGAGAGGAAATTTAGGCATGTTTGATATCTTGAAGTGAAAAATTATTACATTCATATTCTACAGTTAGGAATCTGACCAAGTTTTTATGTAATTTACTGATTAACTTTACCGAAAGCGGTGCTGCTAAAATAACGTCATTCCGTATAATCGCTTGTACGGTTCTATATCGTTTTTAAGTCAGCGCAGCCGATTTGATCGGTAAATTTTTCATCAGTAATTTGGTGTGATATATACCAATCACGAAATTCCAAATTTTAGAAAAATAAAGGCTTTATTGAATCTTATACAAAGATTAACTACACAGCTCTACTCTAACCGAATACTACTTCTAAAGACTTCTAGAACGAACTAACAGAATAATCTAAAGTTGCATGCTTTTATACTTTCCGTAGCATTCGCAGCTACAATCCGCATGGCAACCTTATACCTTATTTTACACATAGTTAAATTATTCTTAGTAAGACTATTCTACTGCGGACCATCACTAATCCAATATGGATACGACTACAGTACTTACGTAGACATTATTCACACCAGCCAAAGTACAATGAATTAACCATATCCTAATATATGATTTACAGTTCTATTTTTACCTATAGCCATATTAGTAACTCAACAGCTTACTATATATAGTCATCTGTACTCTAGCATAGAGTCTCTACCACTACAGTCTATAGTTACAGCTACCAAATATCTCTTAGGATAAATATCTACCGTACATTATACTAGACATGGCTAACAGTCTACAATCACAATACTAAGTTACATTACATTCGGTCACGAGTTTAAAACCAGTAATATATCACAATTGACCTTTTAATACTTGGGGAGTAGCAAAAAGTAGATGTTATCTAAAAACTAATATATTATGCAATGAAACTGACTAAATTGTAGCAAAAATGACTCACATAAATTATAAGGTAGCTGATAGCGCTTTTAATAATATGTAATATTCTCTATTTTGTATCGCTGCATATCACAAGCACCATGGCAATACAAGAAATCTTTAACTATGTAAACTTACACTGTTCTTCTACTTATGTCTTATGGCCACTGTATATACTATCAGCAACCGCAAGGCTAGGTGCTTCTACTCAAATAACTTTAATGTACTTTGTAGATAGCTCCCTAATCCCCCATTCTCTACCGCAGCATAGTCTACAAAAATGTAGTAATGCAAGTTATGTAGATAAATTAAGAAATTTCTTACTTTTTGTCCATTTATTTTACAGTATCATTATATACTTTCTGAAATTTACAAATAGATTACATATCCACAGCATCAATTTTAATAATACCTTAAGACAAAATGCCCATTTTTACTAAACTTTAAAGCTAAATATGAATTATCGCAATATCCAAACACAAGAAATCCACAATCACTGTACTTTAATACCAGATATCAATTATCACAATATCGTTAACAAGATATCTATTTTCAATATATTTTAATGCAAATAGTAGTTATCACAATATCTTAACACAAAATATATACTATCACTATACTTTAACATAATCTGATTTTATTTTTGCGTCACGACAATTATAATATCGCGACACTTAGTTTAGCTAAAATCGGCTTCAGAAATCTTTCCGTAGATCACATTGTTGGCGATATGTTTTCATAAATTATGACAATAAGTTAGTTTTTTCAGTGATCGATTAACGATAGATCTTCGTAACTCTACTAGTTTCAGCTAATTACAGTAGTAATTGAAGTACGGTTGCATTAAGAAAATGAATAGTCTGCTATGCTTATAAGGTAAAATCATGATTACTGATGATGAAAAGGTTGACTTATACTATTCATATTATGTGCGTGTCACGAAAGCAATCTTCGTGACATATACATTATTTCTATGTTACATTCTTTATATATTTGTACCTCAGAAATGTTTTACGGTCTCCTTAATTGTAATTTTAATGTATAACGGTTGATATCCTTAACTTAGAATTACATAAACTAAAACAGCAATTGCCAACTGCTAAACTGGATTATATCTATCGCCTCGAAGGTTGTTACGCTTCATAGTAAAATTCCTTAGTTCAAGGAAATGTCTTAGTAGGATAGCTATATATGTATCTGTTAAACAATTAATAAGCATTGATTGTTTTAATACCGTTACCGTAAATTTAATAGGATTAGGCTGTATCTAATCTGTACAGATAGAATCTCTGTAGGGTATTAATTAGGCTAATTTCTGATAGACGAGGTGACTTGTGTAGCTAAACCGGCTTTAGGTAGGAACCTATATAAACGGCGAGTCCACCAACAATAAATTAGATTGTGATTTTCTAGTAAGTCTTGAAGGTCTCCCTGTGTTAAATCCTATCTGCTTTGGAATAACAATTGTCTGGTATTCCAAATAACAGTAGTAAAGGATAGATATCACCCTCTCAATCCTCGTTGCAAATTAGGGCTATTCCTAGCTCGCAACAGAGCTGTAGATAGCTATATTAGGAGATATTTTTGTGTAATATTTTAATGTAACTGTTCGGTAATATGGAATTGTTATCATGGAGACTAAGTCGCACCTTATCTGGTTTATCTTAGTTACTTTCGACTATTATTATGAGGGAAGAAAAGTGTATCCTTCTCTTATTAAGCGTTCCATTAATAAACGAATACTTTTTAGGTTAAACACGGCGTTTACCTGATCTTGTGTCATGTTAGAGATTTGCTCAATTTTAATAATTCAAACTTTGAGTTAAACGATTGCGAACCTAAGGGGTTATAAAATCCAAGCTTTACAGTAACATAACTTAGCATTGGATAGCAGATTATTGGTAGGATGTATAGTAGCTTGGCTTACTCGATATAGCGTAAGCCATATTTAGTTACTCATAATATATACTACAAATAAAAATTCAATGTTAGAATACAGATGACTATGTAGATTAAAGTATTGAGTAACAATTAATGCTAGAGGAAAAAGATTGATACGTACTTCGTATGTTAGAATATGGATACTTCATCACACGGTGGCTAATTGGAAAATATATCGGTATAAGTAGTGTAGCTACTGCCGCAATAAATTGTAAATCATCCGTCGTAGAATATGTATAATGCAAATTATTGCTTAACCTAGGTCATTGTAAGACATTGTAGAATATTGTTCTGCCGATTACAGCTACAAACGGTATGAAAATTTATAAGCAGACAACTGCAAATTAATCAATTATTCTTCCTAAAAGCCTTCTTGACGTTTATTAGGCTAGAGTAGAACTATATATGGGATATATTTGTATTGAAATTTATTATGATTCTAATTTTCTACAAGCTTCGAAATTTTGCGATCGATTTATCATGTTCTTACATACCTAGAAAAATTACGCTATTTTTTTAAAGCTGTAAATGCGTTTCTTTATTAACAAGCTAATAATAGTGTCTATTAAAACCGTAGATAGATTTAATCTGCAGCTTTACATACCTAGATTTGTATTTTATGTTGCAAGATATCCGGTTTTTATCGCAAGCCAAACATAACCTCTTTCATTTATGTAGAGTGCATGGCTATGATACCAACATCAGCACTAATATATGTTATACGTAATAAAATGCAAATCCATGACCACTGCGGCTTTAATGCCAAATTAAATTTATTAGCGTGATAGAGTAGTGTAAAATCTTAACTTTTCTAATAAGTTATAAAATTATAAAATGTGCATTAAATTGTGGAATGAATTATAAAACACAAACTGCAAAGGTTTACGTAACATCAGATACAGGGCTTCAGCTTCAAATATGACTTTTATGCGCTTAGAAGTTAAACTAGCAGCTTGTTAAATATTTTACTTTCAATATGACCTTTCGATCGTCTAGTAGATTGAAAACTATTAATATTTAATCTAAAAAAATAGATTTAGGCCTTTTGATATTGTTATTGAATACTATTAAACACATCATACTTTCTAAATATTTAACCATCTTGGTAGTAAACAAGTAAAAATAGTAAAAGGATGATTGAAGTACATAATTATAAAGATTCAGCCAGTATAAACCGATAAATTTCTATAGACATTCATTACAATTATCTATAGTCTGTAATTTCGTGACAGGCAAAACAGCTCTATGAACCGTAACATATATTACAATCAAAAATATTCAAATTTTTAACGTGTTGTGAAATTTTAATCCTATATTATTTCATTGCAAAAGCGATTAGTATTTTATGCACGGATAAATTCCATTGATGTATTACGACTTAGTTTCTGATGCTCCTTATCCTCATTAACCATCATTCTTAGAACTCTTTGCTCTGATATCATGCCTACTCGCTGGCAGATAGCTTTTGCGCTTGCTCGAACGTTGTAGTCGAATTTCAAGTAAATAAATGGATTCCAAATTGTAATACTTGTTGTTGCTGGATAGGAAAAGAATGCCAATAAGAAGGCAGCTGAACTACTCTCACGAATTTGTAATATTGTCTTTTGAGTTACAGCAACTCCTATTGCAGTAGCAAAAAATGGCCAAGTGGTCAAGATATAACTTGTTGTAATACTTATTAAGGCAGTAATAAATTTCTTTTTACGCATTTGCATCTCCTTAAGTTGATTTTGTAGTGCATGGCCAGGGTGAACATAATTTTTTTGATGGACTATAATTCGCCAGTAAATGATGCTAATGGCAAACGACGGCAAGATGTACAAAAGTACGGCAAAAGCAATAAAGTAGACAGACTGCAGAGTCGATACTTCCGTTATATCACACATAACTGTTCCTTGAAGGGAAGCTTTACCAATGATAAGTAACGGAAAATTGATTATAATTGCCATAATCCAAATGATAACTTCACATATCATCACAAATTGATTCCGATGCAAACGATAAAATCTGGCCCACGGTTTTACAATAGCAAAATAACGATCTAAGGCGATCAAGCTTAAGTTCATAATTGATATCGCATAAGATGTCATAGTAATGAAGAACAAGCATTTGCACATGATTGTACCAGAGGTTAAATTCAACGATTTGGCAGCAATTTGACTATAGACACAGATGTAGGTTATCGATGAGATTGTATCCGTCGTGGCTGATATTAATATCAACTGATAGGTTACTTTACGAAAAAATTTCTCCGTGATAAAGATATAAAGTACAAATAAATTAGCTAGCAAACCTATAACCGATAAAGGAACAACGGCAATAGCTGCAGAAGCATAAAGCACCGAAAAAAAATTAGCAAGCGATTGATTCGCTTGAGTCATCGCTAATAATCAATATCAAATTCTGTATATAATTACTGTTCTCAATGATAAAAGGCTCAAACCATATTATTCAATTTTAATCTTTTAAACTAGATACTAATCTGGTTGGTAAATTAGATAAAGTTATATTATTAAGTTACATAGATTAAACACACCCGTTGGTGAAAGCAATACCAGTTTATTAGTTAGGGTTCCAGACAGCAGTAGAGTGTTAGATCTTTGTGGATTGCAAAATTTTGTCCTGTGTATGACTCATCTAGATCACAATTCCTACGTTTATACTTTAGCGATAGATTGCCTTTACTGTAGTCAGAATTTTAAATTACTCAGATAGACAATATATGACCTTTGTTTGCTGATTATCTTTCAAAGACACTAATAATGGCCTTTCGAAAATTTTTAACATCCTTCCGGTCAGCTAATTTACGCAAGCAATTTGATGAAACAATATGAGATGAACGAATGCTACGTATTCAATGACCCTAATGTATCTACTACGGTAACTGTTAACATGTTAAATTATAGCTTCTCTTATAAATAAGTGCGGATGACTAGTAAAGAATAGCAATTAGAAATAATGCAAACTACTGGTATTGCATTAGTTGATTAGTAAGTAACGGATAAATTAGAGACTAAAAAAATAGTATTCTGATAGATTCGGAAAAAAATTACCTAAAATGTAGAATTAAAGAATCTCAATTCAATCTTTAAGCGAATTCTTAAAATTTGATCTATATATTATATTAATAACACTCTAACTAATATCAGTAATAATAAGTTACAACTAAAATATTCTATATTTTTTGTGTGGCTATTGTATCTAATAGAATTTTTTTTATGCAAAGGTAGGCGATGTTTCGATACTACCGTATTAGCATGATTTATTAGCAAAGTAATGTAAACTTATCGATATTAGGCATTGTCTTGCAAATTTAATTATAACATCAATTGATTATTTTGTTATTTACCTCAATTTTTAACAATACTTCGGCGTTCTTGTGACTAGTCGAATTTATTTAGCCTTGCATTCTGATTGCAAAATATTACTAAAACAGTAAACGATATCCAAATTACTATTCTTAAATTAAATTGGGTAGCAGGTATTGCTAATAGCCGCTATCAGGTCATATTCAGAAAGACTTACCTTTATGGGACTAAAATTTTCGATGACTAGCATGCAATCTGCAAACGAAACATTCATGTATCTGATTAAAGCCTGATAGTTTAATCTAGTTAGTTTTATGTATGTGAAAATAACATCGTCTTAAATTGCTTTCAATTTTAGCATAACATATCACAATGCTAATAATTTCAGCTTTGTAATAACAACTTTCTTGAAATTAACAAGCTGTTGTACTTTAACCGTATTTTTTTACCAAATTACATATAGGACATACTTTTCGATCAATTTTAAAAGTCCATTTGTTATCCTTTATCAATTACACATCTTTACGACGATTTTAATATCATCTACTTAGCAAGAGGTGCTGTTATACATTGTAATAAAGTAAGCACTTGGATTCATAAAACAGGTTATGGCTGCCTTTTCTTTGATAACTTTTATTATAATTAAAGAACACATCATATTATATCATAAACTATTACGGTACTTCCTCTAGTTGGATAAAACAATCATTGCAATTTGAAGTAGTAAAGTATAATTATCTTAAGCATAGTATATTTGGCTGTGGTAAGTAGTCAACTATCAACATTATGGACACAGATAATGTACAATATTAAGATTTTGCATCATTTATTTAACGTATAGTATCGGTAATAGTTAGGTTACGGCTAGGATTGTTCGTGTTTGGTGCAGTTTTTGTATACAGTATAGATAGCTTTTATCTTAGGAGGTAAAAATGTAGTATAATCGATGTAAGATTGTTTTGCCTAATATTGAATTGCTTCTACATGTAGAGGTATTAAAAAATAGAAAAATGTTCTATAATTGATCGGATTATTGCTTAATTTTTATTTTCAAACTATCGAAGCAGAATGTAGAAAATTTAATGAAAAATAACTGCAACGACTGTTTAATCTTTATATCCATTATATAAAATAGACAAATTAAATGAAATTATGAAAAGCAAGTAATTTTTGATTGTTTCATCCTAGTTAAATTGCCAAGTTTTAGGTATTAAATATGTATTATATCTAACATGATAAAGAATGGATAATTCTTTCGACATTAATAGTTTAATTGTACTTATACATATATCTTTATAAATCGGGTATTTATGTCGATAGTGTTATGAATGCAATAATAAATTTCATTATCTAATTTCTAATTAACTATACTTGAATACAAATCATATTTATCATTATGCATTATGATCTCTGTATCTTCAAGTTTTTGCTTCATTTATACGAAATTGGCTCGTAAATATTGATAATTTAATAAATATTGCATTACTTTTAACAATTATTTTTACTATTGATCATATATGACAAACATTAATGTTAACCGTATATTCTTAACTAATTTTAATAATTCTGAATTAGAGACAAATAGAGGTCATGGCTGTATAAACAGAAGTAAAATTATATTAATTAATAAGATATTACGTGTTGCTTAACTATCAATTACACTACAAAAATAATTCACAATTAATATGTGGGTGTTTGTCGCAGAATCTTTGCTACTAATTCTACGATGGGCCATATCACGTATTTTGAAAGCTTAATGAAATGTATGCAGGATATCATGATCATCCCCTACGTATTTTGGCTCTACAAGTGATGTGCAATAAAATAGGTAAATAATTGCAATTTGAAGATATCTGACTTCCTACAAAAAAATTAAATAATATAGGCTTATAATGCTGCATTGCATTTATAATATTTTTTGCTACGAGATTTACGTAGAAGTAGCAATAAGTGTTATAGATTCTGGAACATCCTTGCAACGTCTGACCAAATTTTACGTTATACTGAACAGTGTCGCGGTCTGATGGATTAAGTTTCGTCAGATTACTGAGAAAGAAAGATATCTGAGAGTATTGAACAGCTAATAATCGTTCTATCACTTTTGCTTACTATCAAATATCGCAAACATAGCACATAAAATAATCATAATTTTGGAAGAATATTGCTGGATAAACTCATGAATTACAAAACGTTCAAACGAACTCGTACATATTAAAGAATAATTAGATTCGATTCTAAAACACTTAGAATATGCAGAAGCTAGGTAAATATGTAATAAATATTACCTAGTTCTAGCTACTGCTAGTAATAAAGCTTACCTATCACCACTTCGTTAGACAACTTCCATGTATATGTAAGATGCATATAGCAAATGGATGCTGCTGTTTTGTTACAAATCAATACTAACAAGTTTATATGAGTCCAAGTATATTAGTCTAATGAACTTTCTTGAATACTTATAACTTTATGTAGCCTGAAATTTAAAAACTGTAATGCAAAGATTTTTTCATAGCTCTAGCTGCACTTGTTTGTATAGAGATTAACTCATACATCAACACTTTAAGCTCTTAAATGTCCTTTGCCATTGGAATTATCATCAGCAACATTATTTCTTGCCTATCTTGTTGATTAGTAAATAATCTAATCAAATAAGTATCTTGGTACAAATTCAACTATCTGATCACTTTTTAATCAATAACAAATATAGCAAATGTAATTTCCATATCGCACTCGAAGCACTCTAACATCATACGGGTAAATAACAACTGATATAGGACAATGACCGCCTATTTAGTTTTACAGTTATGGCCTAATAAAATCTTATTAATTCTATGAGCTTCTCTTATGATTAGTTAATATAATAATAGGCGTTATGTATACATATATACGATTTTCTATTACACTGAGATCTAGTATTGCTAATGGTACTAGTTTGAAGAAGAAATTTACTTAACTGGATTCACGAATTAAAAACATAAATTTTAATGGCTGACCCAAGCTGACCATCTGTCAGGAAATAAGCTATGTAAAGCTATTTGATTTTAAATTATTTAATTAGAAGATATTGTTGATCGATGTGTAATATTTATTTATTTTTAAAATTGTACGCAGTTAAATGCTATCATATTTATCTCCATTTCGTATGATTTTCGATTAGTGAATGGATAATAACGGATTTATTGTCGTTGACAGTTATCAACAATATCAATTTGAGTTCCTTTCAGCATGAATGTGCTTATAAGAGCACATTAATCTCATCGGTGTACGTATATAGTAATGGTCGTAAATGTGAATTATAAATAATCATTCTGTGGTATAATAAATATTTCCCAACATTAATTTGCTATCATTGACTTTATACTTATGTAATGAAGCTTAATTTTTAGAATTCTTCTTCAAGATTTATTGCTAATTTAATAAGTATTGTAGCTTTGAAAATAACTTAATTTGGTTTAACTATAGGAGGTTTAACATAGTATCGTAGCATATTGTAAACGCAACTCCTTTATTCGGGTTAGAACTTAAGAATATTCTGTAGTATAATTTCGATAAGAATATCACGATGTTAGATTGTAATTTATCTGATATTTTTAACCAGTATAATACTCATACTTTAGTTATGATAAAAACTTGTAGCCAACTTTGATTACAAAATACAATAGAAATAATATTACTTCGCTATTGAATACAGGGTAAACCCAATCGTTTCAATCTGGGTCCTAATTTAAGATTGTTAGTCTGTCTTAGTCTTTTTTAGTTATATATTATATAATGTAGAAAAGTACCATTTTTAGATTTAGTAATGTTGGGAATCTAAGGTACAATTTATCTGATCATATGTGTTTAATTGCTAGTTTCATTTAGAAAACTTTAGAATAGCGATTTGATGGTCTGATAGCACTAATAGCTCTGCGTAGAAAATAAAAGGTGGCATAGTTCAGTAGATTAGTAGTTCAAGTCTTAGATCAAGATAAAAAGTGAAGATTAGGATTTTGCTAAAAATGTGAGTAAATCTTATTTTGCGATGCTAGTTTGATTGGTTGAAGCAGTAATTCTGCTCTTATTGTAATTTT